ATGGGATGAATTTTAGCGCGATGTCGAACCCGTTTTCCATCAGTTATTGAAGCGAGTAAGTGACAAGCCTGTATCATATTGTTCGTATTACTCGTTTTCTACTATTTGTTGTTCGCATACTCACTTAACAACCGGCGGAAAACTGTTTGGCGCCGAAGCACACTCATACTGCTTGACACGCCCCTTCGTCTGCAGTGTACTAGAGTATATTTGCATCCCCGCGGAGATTCGAGCGACAACGCGAGTGAAAGTTTCTGAACACAGAAACAGCTTTTTAGTCTTTTTTATATCTTAATTCTCTGAATGTGTTCAAGCAGTTGTTGTTCGCGTCGAAAGAATACAGGTTAAAAAGAGAATTAGCGGCGAAGATGCACTGTGTACGCGCTGGTGAGCCTTATACCACAGGAAAAAAGGGTTTTCAAGAAGTACGATGATAGCCAGATGACTGTATTGCGGGCAACTTGCACGAATTTAAAGATGGGGCAAGTCGTTGTATTCCTCAGACAGGTCTTTTTCTTATGTTTTCGATAAGCAATTTATCGAGTAGCATTTTTCGCTCTTTTTATGGGTTGTGTGAATGCAGATCACTGCTACCAATCTGACCTTTACAAAAATGACATTTTTATGGCCACCAACTCAGCTATGAGTAAAGTTCGTTGTTGTTTCAGAAGGTAATGGCATTCACGAGCTGCTTCATGACAGTGTCGAGAAGTACTGGCAAAGTGATGGACCTCAACCCCACACTGTTACGATAGAATTTCCACGGAAAACCGATATCTGCTTCGTTATGATGTACCTTGACTTCAAAAATGATGAATCCTACACACCAAGCAAGTGAGTTTGTACTGTTTTTGAGGTTCGCGAGTGCCGATCAAATCCCACAGCACAGAAAAAGCTATCCCAATACGTGCTACATGGCCGAGCTAGTTGACTAGGCTTACAATAGCTCTTTCGAATCGAATATCGGGTCCTGTTATGAGCGCCGCGCATGTCGTCTGGAACGCGGCGCTGCCCCACATCGATTTCCTGCCCCACAATCAAGATTTATTATTCGTTTACACCACTTGTCTTAATCTCAGGATAGTCGTTTATCTGGGATCGTCCTTGATGCATCTTGATGATGGCTTACCTGTGGAGTTTAATGAACCAACTGGTTGGCAGGTGCGTCATACTATTTCTTCGAAATACTGATTGCATTATATCAAAGTTTTTTCATGTTTACTGAACTTTGAGACTTGGTAACTCTTTTCATGACCGTTATCTTTTTATAGCTCATCGATCTGCGATCCCGCCGAACGAATAGGCCATCTCGGGCTATGGTGGTGCAGATTCAAGTGGTGCATAACCACCAAAATGGTCGCGACACCCACATAAGGTTCGTTTTTCACAGCTTTAAAGGCAACGGACACGACTGCTGAGGGCGGACGGTCGTCGCCAACGTCATTGGTGGAAGGGTAAAGTGAGGTGTGGCAAAACGCTCTCTAGCAGCCGATGACGCTGGCAACAACAGCTCGCCTCCAACAATGGTACCGCTGCCTTTAGAAGGCACTTCACGCGATCAAGGGACCAGCGAAATGCCTCTGTGCATTTGGCATCGTTGTCCGCATTCGCAGAGAATATACCAATTTCGCCACTCGAAACGGCGAGATAAAGAAGCTAGAGACGCGTGAGTTTTGCAACCGGTGCAACCGCCTTCTGTAACACTGCAAGACAACTGTTTACAAGCGGAACTGCGGGTGTACGTAACGTTGCTTGCAGCTTGTAGCGTCGTAGAGTCATTTCCTATGCTCTTGCGGGAATCGGTTGCACATATAATAGAATCCTGTTGATTGGGCTTGTCCTCATGATGAACTCGTCCAAGGCGCTGTAGGGGGGGGGGCTGTGCTCAGGGTGTTCCCAAACTTTTTTCGCTTCTTTCTCTACTGATGAGTTTTGATGGGCTACTGGTTCATGACTGAGCACCTGCTACCTGTTACACTTGATTGCGGGAATTGTATTTTAGACGCGTTCCAGACCGAAATGAACCCCATGCTATTTCAACAGTAGTTACAATAGCTCCCAGATCTTCACAAAGTTATCCAGCTTATAGACTGAAGTTAAGACCCCCCTCAACAGCTTGCACAAGTTCGAGCTCTTTCATTTTAAACTAGTTATGCGTCAACTGGGGAGCCCTATGACAAATGACATTCGTTGTGCCTTAAACTTTACTCCGCCATGGTTCAGGGAATATCTTGCATTTTTCTTCCACAGTCGAACAAAAGCAAATAGCGAATGGTCTACAAAAAATGAAATATGGCTGTTCAGAATCAATAGGCTGTTATTTCAGACACATTCGCGTGCTTGGGCCCAGCCGATCGAGGTTTGCTTCGCATTCTCGACTGCATGCTGGCCGACCAGGCACCGTTGATGATTTTGTGTTACCCCCGGTTTCAGACCTGAACAAACTTATCAGTAGTTGCATGGCTATCCGATAGCGTTCATGAGCTCTTTTTTACCGATTTCAAGAGTTTTAATATGCTTGTATTTAGTGTAACCTATTTCTAGTTTTTCTTCGAGGCCTACAATTTTCTCTTACCTACCGGGTTGAAGTGGATATTTTGCGAATGTAATTCCACATTATTTGCTGTATAAACAATTTATTTAATTCAACAACTTGAAAACGCGGCTCTGCAGTTAATGTAGAACATGGGGATCGGTGAAGTGGCGGTGTCGTCACAAAACCCAAATTCCATCCTCCTTGACGGCCCCATCTCAGCTCCTACAGTTCTTACCAAACGTTTGGGGGAGGCGTCTAGTCTGAAAAACTAGTGCTTTGGTGGGGCGGAATCGGGGGAGCGGGAATCATCCGATCTAAAGAAGCAAGGGATTAGAGGCCATGACACAGGAACCCATTCTGCTTGACATGTGGTATTCGTGAAGAACAATCGAATCCGCTTCACTCTGTTTGCTATTGCTACTATATGCTATTTTGTCGCCAGGACCAGAGCACATCACGGGATAAGAAAAAAATTGTGGTCCAGCAAGAACCCTCTTCTTACGTTTGACTGTACGCGGGGCTGGCTCGGGCCCGCATAGCACTCGAGACGAGTTGATTATTTGCCACTACATCACCTTAACATAGTGAGCGCGAAAAGTGAAAAATGACTTCCTCCCCTCGCCGAATGCGCGAGATTATCATTAAAGCATATTGAACCTTTCGCCCATCTCGGCTTCATTGGAGGCAAACCAGCTCTTTTTACCTTTCGAAACGCTCGAATTTTATACCTTTTTTACAGATTCCACACGTTCTCAGATCATTGAAAGGTTCAGATCAATTTTAAGGTTGCGGAATGCCCTCCCTCCCCGCTACTATTACCCCACCACCTTTCGATTGTTCCTCAAACCAGCTGTGCTCTGGGTCGCAGACGCAAAATTGGTATCGTGTTCCTTTCGTGCGGGACTACGAGAGTCGTTGTTGAGTATTTGCTATTCCGCATTTCTTTTCTCAGACAAAAGTTATCTTTGGCTTACCGACTGCCATCCCTGACTTATGCTCCCTGCATCTCATGATCTTACTCCACCTGTGTCAAGGGAAGCTGTGGTGATATTGTTGCTAATTCTGAAGATCCCCCTATCTTTTCTAGGTAATCGCTTACCTCATGGTGGGAAGGGGGCATAACCACAGGACTGAACACCATTAGGTCATCGAGCGCCGTTATTTGGACCGTCGGCGTTCCAGAGGCCTTCGCAATTCTGAATGAAAACGAACGTATTTGCCAGAGGATCTACCCTTCAGGTGACACAAGGATACATTTTACGCTTATTTGCAAGATGGATGCTCGTCCCTAGCTAGGTGGACAGATCTGCTGCTGTAGAAATGTGCCATCATCCGAAATTGCACGAAAATTGAGCTGGAACCAGCTGATAGCTGGATGTCGTTTCGGACTCCACCTACTATCCACGATGTGCAGTACGTGCATCGATAATGAGGTTCCGTAGCGAATTACACGATTGGTAAGCTCCCTTTTGTGGCTAAGTGCAGAGAACGACCAAAAATGAGAGCACGCAGACAAGTGGCCTGGCTATACAGGGAGGGGGGCAAAAAAAGTCACTTCGACCGAGTCACATATCAGCAAAGTTTTCGCTGCCCAGACAGAGGACGTGGATACGAGTACCAGGGCGGAAGATACCCAAGATGTTCCTCTATAAGCAGGAGCTGGCTCGCCCATCACCTTCATGTACACCAAAATATGAAGTCATCTCCACTCGCAACCTGACTGAAGAAGACCTTCGGAATTCATGTCACCCCTGAACAGCTGCGAAACTTCTGGTGTGGAGTCACCCATGGATAGCTACCTGGAGACCAGTGCTCTTGATCTGAAA